CTCCGTCTCAAAAAAAAACAAAAAAAACAAAAAAAACAATGAGGAAAGTGTATGAATTCATACAGCAAGAAGCCGGGAGGTGGGGGCAGCTCCAGAATGGGCTAATCTGTGGCTCAGCAGCAGTGTCAGACTCAAGCTTTTCCTGTGTTTCCTCTGCCATGCTTACTGGCTTGGTCTGTTCTGGGAAGGACTCTGTGTATAGGTGTCTCAGGAGAGCTGCTACTGCTCCAGACGTCATATCCAGAAACAACAATGTCCACTGTGAGAGGAAGGATACCAAGACCTTGGAGTCCTTTTTAAGAGCGAGGAAACATTTCCCAGAAGACTCTGCTATGGTGCGAGTGCTTGTGCCTCCCCCAAAATTCATGTTCAAACTGAATCCCCAAAGCAGCAGTATTAAGAGCTGGAGACTTTGGGAGCTGATTAGGCGGCGAGGGCTCTGTCCTCACAGACGGGATTAGTGTTTTACAAAAGGGGAAGAGGGGGCCGGGTGCGGTGACTGATGCCTGTAATGCCAGCACTTTGGGAGGCCAAGGGGGGTGGATCATGAGGTCAGGAGTTTGAGACCAGCCTGGCCAACATGGTGAAACCCCGTCTCTACTAAAAATGAAAAAATTAGATGGGCGTGGTGGTGGGCACTTGTAATCCTAGCTACTCGGGATGCTGAGGCAGGAGAATGGTTTGAACCCAGGAGGTGGAGGTTGCAGTCAGCCGAGATTGCGCAACCACACTCCAGCCTGGCAACAGGGGTAGACTCTGTCTCGAAAAAACAAAAAAAAAAAAAAAAAGGAGGAGAGAACTAGCTGGCCTTTCTTCCTTTTGTCTTTCCACCTTCTGCTATGTGAGGAAGCAGCATTCATCATCTCTTTTTGCCTTTCCATCTTTCGTGTTATGGGAGGGCACAACATTCGTCCCCTCCAGAGGATGCAGCAACAAGGTCCCATTTTGGAAGCAGAGATGGAATTTGGAAGCTCTCATCAGACACGGAATCTGATGGTGTCCTGATTTTGGACTTCCAGCTCCTGTAGCTGTGAGCAAAACAGTTATGCTACCTCTCAATTCTGCTTTCTAAAGTATTTTGTTACGGTGGCAGGAAAGGACTAATAGTCTCCGTCCCCACCCTTTTCTCAAATCTCATTGATTCACCTGCCAGCTCCTAAAGCAGTCTCTGCAAAGGTCAGTCGAGGTGGCTCACACCTGTAATTCCAGCACTTTGGGAGGCTGAGGCAGGTGGATCACGAGGTCAGGAGATCAAGACCATCAGGGCCAACACGGTGAAACCCCGTCTCTACTAAAAATACCAAAAAATTAGCTGGACGTGGTAGCACACCTGTAGTCCCAGCTACTTGGGAGGCTGAGGCAGGAGAACTGCTTGAACTCGGGAGGCGGAGATTGCAGTGAGCTGAGATCTCGCCACTGCACTCCAGCCTGGGGGACAGTGCAAGACTCCGTCTCAAAACAAAAACAAACCAATCTCTGCAAAGAAGACTAGCCTACACCAGTCAGGATTTACCCCTGGAGCTGGGTAGGATGTAATGATTTTCCTGAGTCCCTGGGAGGAGCGGGACACACACACAAACGGTGTCTGCCAGCAAGAAAGAAAGAGGTGTACAGACACAAACTTGATCTAGACAACAGGGACTGCCTCAGAACCAGCGGCCCCCGAGGGTTAAGATGAAGAGTCTCTATGAAGGAAGTGAAGATTTACTGTTAAGTGTTAAGTACAATGTTACCAGGTTCCAAGGAAATTCCCAAGGAAGGCAGAGGATTGAGAGCTTCTCTCTGCCCACTTCCTATCCCCATCTCTAAGACAACTGGGCTGGGTAGGCTGGAGACCTGCAGGCTAGCACACAGCCACCCCTGGTTGGCTGTGAGGTGGAAGCTCCAGACCTGTTTATGGAGCCCATTTTAGAAGCCCCTATCCCTCCTCACATTTTAAGAATAAATTAGAACATTTTATTACATTTTCACAACTAATAAAATTAACAGTAATTTATCCTTTTTTTTTTTTTTTTTTTT